TTGTGGTTGTTTAGTAGTCTGTGGCCTGCATTCCTCTGTGGGATCATCTGAAAGCAACATGTAGCTCGAGTAAAGAAAACACACGCTCTTCATAGCAGCAGTGACAGTGTGTAAACAGTGCCTGCAATGAATGCGTTGGCTGTTTAAATATGCCAAATGAAATGTGATAAATTTCCATTCATGTTTGTGGTGTATAAACGTTTAAAATGGGCCTATAAACCAGTAACAAACAAAAATGTTGAAATTTTGGGAATGATGAATGATGGTGGAAAATCAAGTACACTGGACAAGTGGGGAAAATAAGCACAGGGATAATAAATTATCTGTAAGTTTATGAACAAAGTGGACATATTTATCTATTTGTGCTTCCCAGGCAACTATGAGATGGTGAGTTTGCTACTGGCACGAGGCGCCGACCCCTTATCAAAGAACCATGGTGGAAACGCCCTTACATCATCCCTCTATGAGGACATGAACTGCTTCAGTCATGCTGCTGCACATGGACACAGGTATGCAGCCCCCAGTGTGAACATGTGCTGAAAACTAGTACTGGAAGACCAACTGTAAACATTTGCACACGTAGCACAGAAATAATGCATCTGTCAGCTTCTTATTACACATGACTAGAGTTGGAGTTTGTGCTGTGAGGATAGATTCAAACGTTTTATCGTGTGATTCAGGAAGAGCTTGAAAGTTTTGTAGTGTGAAAGGAAAGTTTAAGGTGTCGTTCTATTCAGAGTCAATTTGTTTCTGAAGACCAGCTGGTGGTGTAAACCTCTCCACCTGTTCACTCTGTCTGTGTGAACACGATGTAGACTCAACACTTCACATTGCTCAGTGAGGGTGATAGATTACGTAATGAGAGAGGAGACTCCAGGGTTGCAGAATTGGAAGTACACGTTGCCATTTTGGCAGATATTAATGATCCTCCACCTTCTAACTTTCTTTTCTTGTTTCCTTCCTCGCGTGCCCTCTTTCTGCCCTCGTTCTACTTCCTATTTATCTTGTCAGGAACGTGCTGAGAAAGCTACTGACTCAGCCGCAGCAAGTCAAAGAGGACGTCCTGTCTCTGGAGGAGATCCTGGCTGAGGGGGTTGAAGATGAGACGGCCGGGATCTGCCCTTTCGTCCATCTTTCCCCTCTTCCCAACTCTTCCAACGGTCCCCTGCCGATGCCAGAAGTGGGCATACCAAGGCTCTGCAAAGCCAGGATGAAGGCTCTCCAAGAGGCCAGCTACTACAGCGCCGAGCATGGCTACCTGGACGTCACCATGGAGCTGCATGCTATGGGTACTTTTCAAATGGCAAGAAGAGGATGTGCCTACTTTTCCAGTTTATAGAACCGAATAATAAATCCTTTCTATTTAACCAGGCGTGCCATGGAAACTACACGTGTGGCTGGAATCTCTTCGCTGCGCCCAGCAGCAGTCCAGGACAGGGGTCACCCTCTCCCTCCTCAAAGACTTTACCACAATCAAAGAGGAGGACTACTGCGAGGAACTGGTCACCACAGGCCTGCCCCTTATGTTCAATATTTTGCGCACCACAAAGGTACAGTCAAAAGCGATAATGAGTATGATTTTCACACTTTTTCAGTGTTAAACAGATTTAATTATACATTTCTCTTCTTCTCGTTCTATTACTTTCCTTCAGAGTGACGCCATTACACAGCAGTTGGCAGCTATTTTTAGTCACTGTTTTGGCCCAGCACCCCTCCCAGCCATCCCTGAGATGAAGGCAACTCTTTCAGCACAGTTGGGTAAGGAAACTATGATCCTTTAGAGTATATGGATATACATGCTCAGAGCTCCAAGAGGCTAGCCTTTTACTGGCACCGATTTCAGTATTGGCTCGTGATAATTAGTCATTTTGACATCTAAAACACCAGCAAATGCTTAAATACAGTTTTCTTAAGCCTAAAGTCACCGTCAACAGATTCCTTATACAGTGATACAAACCCTAAAACAACACAAATGTAACACTTGGGCTGTAAATTCGATTTTTTTTTCATGAATATTAGTAAAAGAGTGTCTGATATAGGGATGGGTATCGTTTAGGTTTCTTTTGAAACGGTGCCGGTGCTTAAACGGTGCTCAAACCGGTGCTTAAAGAATGGAGAACACAAAATTGGTCCAAAAACCTCTCATGTTCAGCTGTTTTTTTGTAAAAAGATAACAATGTTAGCCTTTCCTGCAGCTATTGGGCTCGTATGGTATCACTCTTGGCTGGAAGCAGTGCTTAAACAATGGAAAAAACACAAACTTTGTCCAAAAACCTCTCATGTTTAACTGTTTTCCACTTTTTCTTTGGTCATTTTAGCCTTTTTGGCCAGGGTGAAGGGAGTATCTGCCATCAAACAAGAAGACAGCCGCATGTAGCTATGATGCTGTTTGCTAGTTCACCTTACATGCATTAATGTAATAACGTGGTTAGCCTACTCAACGTAAATTACACACGAACAACATGAAGCTGCTCACGCAGAGAAGAACGGCTGCTGCTGCCATCATCATCCGTCATCATTTCTGCTACACTGGCAGGGCTAGGGGCCAGGACTCTACTCTTCGGGTTTTTGGGGGATGTTGCTAACTCCGGGTCCGATAACAGGCACCACACCCACAGTAGATGTGCTCGGTGTGAGGTCTCGCAGCAAGCTATCAAATACAGTGCATTTCTCGGCTAAAAAAACCCGCTATGCGTCGCCAGTATCACAGTATCAGCTTAAAGCACTTGTTGCAGGCTGCTGAGTTTGCATATTTTGCTGTGAAGTACAGCCAGACTTTTGACCGCTTCGCCTTGGGCATTTTTAATCTGTAGCTCTGCTCTAAAAGAACGTACGTACCTGGACCCGCCTACTATCCTCGGAAACGTAAAATGATTGGCTAGAATCCAAAGTGTATCACAGCTCAGGAAAAAAAAAGCACCGAAATGTGCGCTGCTTTTCGGTCTGGTTACTACCGTTTATGTCAGAGCCGACACCGGTACCATCATGGCACCGGACACCGGTACCCATCCCTAGTCTGATATTTTTGTTTTGGTAATCTTATCAGCAGCAATGTGTACAGAACGACTCTGCTGTTACTAGAACATTATGGGTTTTATGCACGTGCTGATGTTTTTCTACAGACCCACACTTTTTGAATAACCAAGAGATGTCAGATGTGACATTTGTGGTTGAGGGAAAACCATTCTACGCACACAGAGTGCTTCTGGTTACTGCCTCTGACCGGTGAGTGCAGAAAGGTACAAGAGTGCATTTTAATGCTTTTGGATAAGACCTTACTTAAAGGGTTTTATTTTGCTCTAGATTCAAGTCTTTGCTGGCATCATGTGGATCAGATGGAAGCTCCGATAAGGAGATTGAGATCAGCGATGTCAAGTACAACATATTTCAGGTAAGAAACACATTCCCTGTTTAGATGTGTTGCATATGACAAAACAGACATTATTTAGATGAAATTGCTCATAAAGAAACCTCTAACCTCTGTACAGATGATGATGTCATACCTGTATTGTGGAGGAACTGAGTCACTGAAAAAGAAGGTGTCTGACTTACTAGAGGTAAGAATTGTTAATCGCATTAATCTGTCCCCGGGGCGGTATCTTAGAAATCCCAGCTTTAGTTCTACATCTTCGCATGAATTACTCATTCTTGCTGACAGTGGAGATTGTTCTTTTTTTGTTTTTTTAATTTAAGTTTAGCTACAAGCTTGACATAAGTTTGTGTTCATAGCAACAATTGAGCTCAATCGTCCCGTCTGGCCAATCCTTTCTAAGCATGAAGCTGTTACTTTGATTTTGAAATATAGTTCCCTTATCACAAGTGCACCAGCTGTGCTTTCAAATATGTCCTGTGTTTTTGTGCATTTATCAATTTAAAAATCGTTTTCTCTTTGTTTTTTCATTAGTTTTTATCGACAATTCGTAGCTTCTTGAACTGAAAACAAAAGAAAATTCCAAATACATGTTACACCACTAATGTTACACAAAGTTAAATATTGCTTGTATGCAAACAGAACGAAAGGATGCATGACATTATTTTTCCTCCATTAAAATGTTCATGTTTTCTCCTGCAGCTGTTGTCAGCTGCTAGTTTGTTCCAGTTGGGGGCGCTACAGAGACATTGTGAACTCATCTGCTCTCAACATATCAGCCTAGATAATGCAGTGAGCATCTACAAAACTGCTAAGGTAACAATTACTGATAGACTTGGATTGCACCACTGTGAGTGCAGTACATATGTATACATCAGTGCTATTTCAGGCATGAAAATGTGACGTTGATATAAAAGTTGTTTTGATCATTTAGGTTTACATAAATTAGGTTTATAAAATTTGGTCATTTCACTGTCCTTTCTTCTGTCAGGTTAATGGTTCGGTGGAGCTGAGCTCGTTGTGTGAAGGTTACTTCTTGCAGCAGATGCCTGCCCTGCTGGAAAGAGAGAGTTTTAGGAGCCTGCTGTTGGGACCCCCGGGGGCCCGACAAGGAAACAACTCCACTTCGACGCTGACGCACAGCCGGGGTGACTCGCTTGCGGAGGAGCTGGAGACCACCCTGGCTCAACGACTTCGCTCTCTCTACGTCACTTCCCGTGTCTGAAGACAACATGGCAGATGCTGTTGAGAGAGGACAGAAATAAGTGGATAAATGTGGCAATTAAGAAGTCTCACCTTTTCACTGATACAGAATCAGATCTGAAGTGTTTCAAATACAGAAGTTTTCTTGGTAAAATCTGATTTTTGTGTGTTAAGGAGCAATATTTTGACACGGGCACAGATTGGTGAGATGCCTGGCAGTGATTTACTCTGTGGGCAACTCGGCATTTCATACTTTGGGCCGAGCACTCCATGAAAATGTTTTTTGTGACGTGCAGCGTTCCGAAGAAGAAAATATGACACCTTTTCTCCAGGGCTCACGAGGCTTTACTGGACGAGCAACAAGTTGAAAGTCTGAATAATAAGACAACGCTGCCCTCTAATGGACAAAGCTTGCAACATAAATAATTGCCCTGGAGGATTGGGATCAGTGGCAGCCTCACAGTTTTGACTGAAGCAATGTAAAGTGATTACAGACTGAAGCCTTTATTGAAGAATTGAGTGAGGTGGCCTTTTGATGCTGGACTTTAAACTTTCTGTTCTATAGTACTGCATAGTGGGAGCAAGGCTGCAGCCTTAAACTCCCTGCATCAATGTAAGCTTCCGATTAACAAATCTACTTTTTTAATGTAAAAGCTTTTATTTTCTGTTTGTTTTTGTTTTTTAAGTACGATGAGAGTAATGAAACATTTCAGAAGAGTGGGATGGACATTTTCTATTTAATGAGGAAAAAGATGTGAGAGTATTTAACGGGGTGTCCCCTTTTTTATTTTTATTTTAATCAAAGCAGATTATTAGTATGGAAAAAAAAATGCTTCTGCTGTTTTACCAGGTACGCTCTAACAGTTTATTAAGCTTGTGTATGCTGAGGTTTAATGCTTCGACACAGGTACAGCTGCGGAGGCTAACGTGGGATTTGGACGACAAGAGTCTGTTTTTGTGCTGGATACATTATTAAACCTGGTAAACAAATCATTTCATGTGTGGATTGTTTTGGACTCACCTGGAATCGGGGAAAACGGCAGATTTACAAATGAGGAAGCCTACAAAATGGAAATAATTACATATGAAATACAGTCTTACCACAAATCACATGTGACATAATGAGGGGGGGGGAAAAAATCTACTGCATCGATCTTAACTTTGTTTATGAAACCTTTTCCCTCTCTGCGCTACACTTACCCTTGCTTGCACCGGTAGAAATAAGGATAACAAACACACCATAACTGAATGAGTTTATTTGTTTCAGCACTGAAGATGCTCACAGTTATGTTTTATGGGGATTACAGTCAGTTTTGCTCCTGCTCTGTCAAAAGACCCATGTAGGCCTCTGAATCGTTGGATATCCTTAGTGCTGCTAGCTTCCCATTGTAGAAAACAGAAAGGAGGGCGCATATCAGGGTATTGCTTTGTGTTTGTAGTACTGGTATCCCCTCCCTGTGCCTCTACTACTAACGGGTAGAGAGAGCCCAGACCTCAGAGCCTTCCAGAGAGAGGTACAGAGTTGAGGAAGCATCCTTCAAAAACTTTGTGCACAAGATAAGGAGGAGGAGGAGGACGAAGGGAAAGATCAGCAGGACCAAGGGAACAATTTAAAAGAAAAAAAAAGAGCCAGAAATAAAAGCAGAAAGGGCGGGAAAGTAAGGGACAGAAGGGGAATTGAAATTTTAAAAGGTAGTTTTGTGGAAAGAGAAGTGATGAAGGCTGAGAGAAGGAGTGAGTTTGGCATGGAACATTAACACCAAAGCCATGCAAAGAAAAGCTCATGTTTTGACATGCACACAGCAATACAAGCTAAAAGCACAGAGCAGGAATCCCCAGCATTGTTGAGAAGACAATCAACCCCCACTTGGCTTGTCTGTCTATTTACAAAGAGAAGAAGCAGATCAGGATCTGTGGTGTTCTTCTCCTCCAGCCTGGCCTACACGCACAATAATATGAAACTGACAAATATCAATAGAAGAGCATATTCCCTCTCCAAAAAGAGGCTAAGTCTACATTCTTAAATTACTGGTAAATCATTTTTTTTTCCAAGAGTTCCCACAAGTTCTCTTTCCCTCTGCAGAGAGAGCACGGAAAAGAGAATTTATGACTTGTCAAAGTTCACATAATTCAGTTAAAGTCAGACCAAAGCAAAGGAAATAAAAGTTCTTTTTTTTCTCTTTTCTTTAAATGTCCCATTTACGAACACACAAGAGGGTAATAAATAACATTCAACTGACCTAACAGCTTTGTTCATATAAATAGCCAAGATATAATAAATTAGGAAATCAAACAGTGAGATGAACAAACATGAATAAATAAGGACAACAATACAAAAATATCCACAGTTGCATTTATCACGTCATTTTTTTTTTATCGTTTGTTTCTCTACTCCTACTGCTGGTAAGTGAGACTAGAGAGAGGTATAAATGAAAACCAAAGGAAAAAACGCTGCAGATAATAGGAAACAGGAATGTTTGGATCGTTATTGGGTCAATCAAACAAAGACGTACATGATCGTGTAACAAAAATACACAGAATTTAAAATGACAGTAAGTGGCAGGCTCAGGTTTACCAACCTGTTCCTATGGTATCTAAACAGTGTCACAACTAGACATTTCTTTTTCTTTTTTACATAAGAAATGATATCAGTCTGTACAACAGAATAGATCATTCATTTTAAATACCCGAATATCCACCCACTTCCCTCCCCCAACCCTATACTATCATTCAATATCTCCCGCTGCCCTGTTCTGCTCGCACCCAACTCCTCTCTGAAAACACAATTCCAGTCTGTTTTGCAGCAATAGTATTAAGTCTAATAAAGTCAGTTAGTATTTCAAACCCAGTTCTTCACAAAGAAAGTACATTATAATAAAAAGCAAACAAATACAATCCAGCAAGCATCCGTGTCGGCTGTTTGGGCTTTCCACAAAACTCCTCTCCCTTCTCTCCTCCTCGTGTTTCTGCATGTTGTCTTCTTTTTTTTAAATGTTGTTCATCATTGTTGATACATCCCAGAGTTTTTGTGCATACTGGATCTGTGCGTGTATGCGCGTGTATGTGGCGTCTGTAGTGTTTTTGAATAATGCTCGTTTTCCAATTAGCAAATGCTCCTTGAGGTCAGAGAACGGGGATAGCTGGTGAGGGGAGGCGAGCGGTCTCGTTTTTATTGGGACGTGTGTGCTTGTGTGTTTCTAAGAACGAGAACACTACGGGATTTTTTTTTTTTGTGTCTACTTCTACTGATGGCTGCCAGGGGTGGAGTCGGGGTGCAGAGGAAGATGAAGGTAGAAGTCTGCATGAAGGGTCTGTTTCCATGGTAACCCCTCCCCCAGCACACCGCTATAAGAAGAGTCCTCCGTCAACAATTGTCCGTCTCTCTTGGCACGCTGGAGGGGTGTGGAGGGGTGGTCGAGGGAGGGCGAATGGAGCAGGGAGCAGGAGGATGGACTTTAATAGGTTTTCTGGATAATTCCTGGTATCAGAAACAAGTCAGGTCATCACACAGGTTAGCAGCAGCATGGGAGCAAACAACTGAGGCCCACAGGTGATTAGATGGTTAGGGTACAGGGGTGGTAATGATGGTGGACGCTGAGGGGTAATGGAAAGGGGAGTGGAATGGCAAGGGTGTGTGTCTGTTGTGTCGGTGCAACATGTTGTTTGCAAAATATCACTTTGATTCTTTTAATATATTTCTATCTATATAAAGTCGTTTTATAGAAAAGATGTCCATAAATGATTTGTATATATATCTAGCTATGTACAGATAGCATATTCTCTCTGTGTCTCTGGCTTAAAGTGATACTGGGATGGCTACAAAGCGCCACGGTCTAAGATTCTTCTGGTGTCCCCACAGATGCCACCGACAAGTGGGCTCTGTCTCGGCCTGCAGCGGGGAATTTGGTGTCATTATTTTCTGGGTCATGCCTCCGGACGTGCATGGGTGAGGGGCAGTGCTTGGAGGGCGTGCCATGGGGGTAGGGCACCTGTCCATTCTTCTCGTCTGAAAAAAGTTGTTTAATTACGTCAAAGAAGTTACTCAATGGGCTGCCTAGGTACACAGATGGGAAGAAAAAGAGGACAAAAAAGGGGGGAAAGAGAGAAGACAGAAGAAACAAACTAATGAACAATGGGGTTCACAGGATAGAGAGATGGCTACATGTAAGGCAGAGCGAGCAGAGGTGAGGAGGTGAGGAGACCCACGTACATCGTGCAAGGGATGAGAACTGCCGAAGCAGCTGTGTTTAGACCACATAATGCATTAGCCCCGGCGAATCATGCATACGTTTCAGCGCAATCCACGGAAAAAAACACAAGTGCCCATTAAGTCGATATAGTGTCCAGCGTGTCTGAACGAGTTTGGCTGGCCAGAAGCAGGACAGACAAGATGATAGAAGCGGAAAATGAGAAAGCGTGGAAATTCAAGAAAACGCTTCCTGTCAAAGAAGCATTACTGCTCCCCCTGAAACATAAAAAGTCTTGGAAACCTGTCCTCCAGCATCAAACCTCTGACACATCCTCAATGTAGGTGTGTCAGACGTCGGGTTTGACATACTAATCATGAGTCGTGTTTTTGCCAGCTAGAAGCTGGCA